TTAAATGAACACCAGTTTAGATAACAAAGGCCAGTAACTGCTTCAGTTGTCTGAAGCTAACCTGTTTCGCTGTGTAAATGGAGATTTTCCAATAGATTTCACTGCTTTACAGGTATTTCATAGGTGCTAACTGATTGTGGCTCGATTTTAAAAGATAAACCCAGGGTGAAAGGCTTAGTGGTGCTTTGTCTCACCTATCTGGTGAATTTCTACCACCATTACTGAGAGAAAAATGACTTTTCTGGTTCTAATATTCAGTAATCCTGTTTCATCCTACAAACAACCACTATTTTTATGAAGAGACAGAAGAATATTGCTATACATTCATTAAACATTTATAACAGATTTTTGGCTATGGTTCTTGTTGCAAGCGGTCTGTTACTTACACTGAACATACACCAAAACTTTGTGTGGAAATTACAACAACGTACTGATTTAATTTCCTGGAAATTTGCCTGAAGAACGTGCTGGTGATCAGGATCATAGAGCATGGCTGCTGTTTTGGAAAGATATTTAGAAAAAGAGCTCTACTGGAGGGGAAGAGCTTTTTTCCAAAAAGCATTGTTGGGTACCTGAGACCATACATAGTCTGAATTTTAAAAAAAAAAAAAGAGAGAGAAAAAGTTGGACTTCAAGACTCAGATGCAATTCCTAGCACATGACTGAGATATATTTTAATCTGATATGCACTGCACATTTGAGCATATAATCTATTTTAAGACATTTTTACAGAAAAAAAATGATAGTCAAATGCAACGACTGGCATTCCTACAACTGCAGAAGGGGAAGATAATACTGATTAGAAAAAAATTGAATTATACAGCATTTCTGTACGGTCTTATCACGTCAGTTTCATTCTTATTACAATGTTCCATGGATTTGGCAAATTTCATAGACTACTAATAAAAAGTCTAGTCCCGGTAGAGGAAAACAGAAATGGTAACCCTTAAAAATTCAGAGAACAGGTAAGCCAGATGCCTAGATATTTCCTAACTACATTGCAAATGTACCTATGACTAACCCATACTTGGCCATGTAAGAACCAAGTGGATGGGGTTTTTTTTGTTTTGTTTTAAATTAGAACTGAAGAAATGCATATATAGACAGTTTCACTATAAAATATAAGACAAAAATCTATATAGGTGTAATTATAGGTATTTCTCACTAATAACAAATTATAGACTATCAACTACATGTTTAAAGAACTTATAGTCTTAATAAAAAGAGGAAAATTCCTTTGTGCAGAGAAACGAGCTTGCAACGGATTCTTAACATTATTGAGATTGAAAGACAGACACTTAGAAGTTCAACTCACAAAAAAACCCAACACCCACCACAACAAAAATCCAGATCCACATCCCACACTAATCAAGATATTTCTTCTGAGCAGAACAGCAACTAAACAATAGATAAGAGATATGGTATACTGGGGTATTAGGACAGCTGCTAATACTAGTATTAAACAAAAATGTCAGTCATATATTTTAACTTCATAGTAAGACCATATAGTCTAAATATCAAAGACTATGGTTTTTTAAATCCAAAACTATTTTCTTGACTTAACTAAATGAAGAATTACTGCAGTTTGTAACCAAATACAGAATTACAAGAATAAGAATGAAAGTGAAAAAAACAAACAAACCCAAACTTTGGAGGAAAAAATTAATGCTATTTAAACAGATTCTTGTTTAAGACAACAATCTATCTAAAACTGGAATGGAAAGAATATCAATAACAATGATTTAGGTCCATTTACTAAAAGGAACTATGACAGTTTGACAGTCTTAAAACTGATGCCTACATAAATCCCATAAACAAGCCGAGCAATTTCTTTTGTTGTGTTAGATACTAATTATTATTATTAAAAAAGAAAACAGAACAAGCAGAAATGCAGTACCTGCATGGTGGGTTTAGATAACCCATGTATGGGATTATAGAAGAGTAATTACTGAGCTTAAATTCAATGCATGTCTTAATGCAAATTAATTTTCAGTTGTGAACAACTGACACCAGGAAATTCTGTACTATGCCACTGATTCTTTTAATAGCTTAGTAGGATCCTAACACAGTAATTTATAAGAACAGATCAACATTCCAAATTGTAATGGTACATTTTGTGGCCTAAAAGCCCTAATAAATAAATTTGTCCAACTAAAGAGGGGGGGATCAATAGAAATTACTGCAATACTTTTTTGTCCAAGCAACTGTGATTGCTTAAATTTCATAGCTGGGAGAAAAAAAATTAATAAGGAAAGAGAGCCTTAAATTTTGATTGTGGTACCTGTTTTTACATCCATTTAGCTATCTATTTCAAATTATTTTATGTAATTTTTAGTCATGTTAAGTACCTGCTTCATCATCCATGTAATTGCAAGCAACTGTGAATGTCATGCTTTAGGGAAAAATGTATCACGTTTAAAAGGACAGTGCTCATTCAAGCTAATTATTTTTCAAACTAAGTGACAGGGAAGAATATCCTAATTGCTCATTCATCTCATCCTTTGTGTCACTAAAACAAGTATGATCAATTACATGCTCTACATTACTTCGTGAAATAAGGCATCTGCCTATAGGCAAGCTTAACCTTTAAGCAGCTTTTTTTAAAGAAATATTTTAAGAGTTCAGCTCTAAAGTCTTGCTTTTACAAACTAAAGTGCTCCAGCAGGTAGAAGAGAGAGGTGCAGAAATAAAGTACTTCTGTGAAACCACTGAAAACAACATCTATATATATTTGATCACATCAAATTATACTGGAAATATACCATGATACACCTCACTTCTCTGTCAGGTTTAAAAACTATAACACTGAAACAGACACTACCATAGTCTTAAGAAATGCTGCTGTCTCAAATTGAAGTTAAAAGTGTGACTTGGTATGCCAGTTATCTACCAGTCAGATATACCTAGTTAGAAGTGCTATTTAAATTCTCTCTCATGTTTCATCTAAGGGCATTCTCCAAAGAAGAATATGTTCCCTTTTATAGTTGAAAACTTATCTTTGTCCAAAACCAACAAGCAGACAAAAAATACTTACTTAGCTATAGTGATATAGAATATTTAAGGCTACAAATGAAAACTGCAGGTGTTCCACACTGATACATGAAGTCTATACTATCTAGTTATTTATATTATCATAATTTTGTCGTTGTTATTTATATTGTTTCCTTGATAGTTTCAAAACCAACATAAACATGGCCCATTCTTGCAGATAACATTTCAAAATGCTTAGGTATTAAAGGCTTTGAAGGATTTCTTTCTCAAACTCAATGTTAAAAATTATGTAAAATGTCATGTAAAAACAGGAGTAAAATAAAAAGTATGCCTAACAATAAAGCTCATTTTAGACCCATTCCTTCCCAAATTCTAGTACTTACACAGGACAACATATAGATAGGACTTTGCTCATTTCTAAAAATTCCTAAGACAGAATGACCAGTAACCAATTCACTATCTTCTGCTGACAAACCAGATGGACTAAATGCTACTTTGATTTATTTCAAAGCTAAGATTCTCACTAGCTTCTAAGACTTTCAGTACAGTTTGATTTAAACAGGACTGCTCAGATTGCAGTAATTTCTAAACCAAATATAATACAGTAATAACCTTCCTGTTTTGTTTTTGGGTTTTTTTAAAGTTTCTAGCTTCACAATGTCAAGGGACAGTTAGACAGAACTATGCTTGAAGAACAAAGGTGAACACAAAAATGAAGATAACTAGAAAAAAAAATAATTACTTAACCCCCCCCTAATTTCCCTAAAAGTCTGCACTTCTGCCTCCCACGTGACCCTCACAACAGATGCAAACTTAATGCAAAAAATCTGTATTTACTTTAAGAAACACGTTAATGGATTTTTTCAAACTGGAAAAGCCTTTTCCTATTACGTCTTGCCTCATCTGCTGCCTTTTTAAAGCCGTCTTCCAGATAACATTACATGTTCTTCATAATAAAAAAAGAGGATCACAGAAGGTGTGAAAGTAAAAGCGATGATGATTTGTCAAGATATTAATTTTCATATTTTGCCTGCTATTTCTCTGACAGCCATAACAGTGGTGTAAATTAATTTTCATTTACGAATGGTGCTCCACATTTAAAGGGTTGCAGTTACAAGTAGAGGCTTCTCTATCTGTTTCCTAATGACTGCTTCCTTGGACCCAGGAAGACAGAATACCAAGATTATGAAAAAGGAAAATGACATTGATAAGATATTCAGTCAGGTTACTATTTTTGTTAAGATTAAATATTACAGCTTCACCAAATTTAAGAGAAATCTTTTAGATTTCTTAAGTTAAGGAGCACCTAAAGCCTTTGGCTGAATTCCCGAAAGAATCCATACTGACATGAAACAGATTAAAGAGGAAGCAATATCTGATATGAAAAACTCTCTCAATATCAGACAACATATACTATGTTAATTTCTGCCCTTTATTTTATCACTTCAGTATAAAAAATTTGCATTACTGTGGTGTAAATTTTACACGTGATGCCCTAATAATGTGCTGTCAGTCCTATTAAACATATTTTCCCTCAAGTCTTGAATTTTTTCAGAAGCTGAGAAATAAATTGCATAAAGTATTCTTTCCCTCTTGATTTCACTTGCATTATAAAAAGCTAAGATATGTCCTAATATATTTTATACAAATTTAACTAATAAGTTTCAGTTAAAAACAAACAATTTTTATTTCTAAACTTTTTTTTTTTTTTTTTTGGCACGACAACTTAGTTTACTTAAAGGTTTTTTGTTATAAAAGCATTTCTTTTACTATAGTAATAGCAAGGTAATCAAACAGTAAGCAATTACAAATAAATAGAATTACACTAAGAGCATGATACTGCATTCCTCACACTGCATTCTCTGAAAATTCTACCAGGAAACTTTCATCTGTTTCCACAGACATATCCTTAATACTGAAAATAAATACTGAGCAATAGATCTTTCCCCGCCCCCCTCACTCCCTTCTCAGTATGCATCATAAAATATAAAATGCAATAGAATTCCTACCTCTTTCATTAAGACTGTTTAGCACTGCCCTTTCAAGCTGTTCTTCTTCAGTAAGCCCACCTGTATAATCATAATAGCTCCTTGGCGTTCTGTATTGATAACCTGGATAGCTGTAATAGTCTGTAAAATGAATACAAAATAAAGAAAATAAACTGCTGCTACTCAGTAGGAGAATGTTAAATCAGATATTATCTTTATGCTATCTTTCTCCCACAAATTATTTTAATTTGGGAAAGAAAAAAATTATTAGGATTAAATTATACAATATATGCCATGAATCAGATTCTAATTTACAAAGCCAGACTATGGTAACATAGGAGAGGAAAACAACAGAAAAAAGATGGATCACGTATCTCAGTTTTTTATAATTGTTAAAAATAAGTATCATAGAATTGCCATTATTAAGAAGTTTCATATAGAAATCGAAAGACACTTTTCATCAGCTCCTTGTAACATGTAATTGTCAATACTTGGGCACCTTATTAATGTCAGAAGAAGAGCAACAACAAAACCTGCAGGTTTCAGGCTTTTTCCCACCTGTCTCTCACTTCCCCTCAGTGTCCATAAACAATACATGCCAATGTCATCAGAAATTCAAGTAATGTTTGGACCTAGAAAAAACATGGGAAAAGATTCCGGCAAATTTTTGCAGGAATACATACAGCTAATGTTGTGCTGTTGCACAGCTACATCTGCCCTGGAAAAAAACACCACACCATAGATATCATTTAATGTTATAACCACTCTATGTTGTCTGCGCTACTGACAACCAAGAATTGCTGACCATTCGCAAAGTTTGTCAAAACCAAGCACAAACAAACCAACCATCATCCACCCAAACACATGGGATTAAAAAGAAAAAAAAAAATAGTTGGCTGGAGAACTGAGCAAGACTCTCTTCCTATTAACACAATCTGATCTTGCCTGAGCACAGAAAATGTAAACTGAGAAAAAACTACGGAGAAAAGTCCCATTTTTCTATTCCATTTTTCTATCTTCAAAAATCATAGAATCATTTGTTTGGAAAAGACCTTTAAGATCAGAGTCCAACCGTTCCTGTCCATTACTAAACCACATCCCTAAGCACCTCATCTACCCGTCTTTCGAACGCCTCCAGGAATGGGGACTCAACCACTTCCCTGGACAGCCCATTCGAGTGCCTAAAATACAAAGCTTTGGACAATATTTTAATTTCTCTTCCATACAGCTGGAAAGGGGATTTTGAAGAACCAAAGTAAAGAAATGTAGCCAGTTTCTTCCAAATGATAGAAAATGTACACAAGTTTTTCAAGATTAATTAATTAGAAATATTTTTGAATGAAACAAATACAGCATGCCATTTCCCTTTATCTTCAGATTATTGGCATCAATGATAGTGTTGTGTTACCTCATTAGCCATATGGATTCCATGTGTAACCTTCTTGTGGAGTTTCTGTGATTAGTAACAAGCACAGAGTATGAAATGTGGACATATAATTTCTTTTTAAAAATGACTGTGTTAAAGGAAAAAAAAAGCAAAAGCTCTAGAACCTTAAGACAAATAAAAATAGGAATACCCCTATCCTAAAGTTATACAGGAAAAGCCAGAAAAATTAACGGAGTGCACATTACTCTATACAGGAGTATGTATATTCCTCTGTGTGTATTATGCAAATATACCTATGTATACTTTATAAGCACATGTATGAGCACATGGATGTACATATAAATCTATAAATTATACACACATATAGAGGAAAAAGTGTAATTATGCCCATTTGCGAATTTTTCCTTTTTGGAACGTCCAACTGACACTGGGAGAATTTTCATACATCTGCAGTGAACACTTTGTATTTGAAATTCTGTCATTTCTCAAATAATGGCAACTCCACTGGTTAGAAAAGATTTTCATTTTTTAATCTGTATGAATTACAGTGGTATTTTTAACAAAATTTAAGAGCCTTTAAGTCATACTGGCTACATTTAAGAGACATAATTCTGCAGAAAAATGAAACTAACTGCGGGATACCATTTAGCTGTTATATATACACACACACTTTGGATGCAATCTTCATGTATTCCCCTCATTCCCCTCTGCATTATGTTAATCTGAATGAACATTTTCTCAACTATAAATTTATTTTCTGGAGGCTTCAAAACTGCATCCATGAAGACTATAACAATTCTGGTACTAAAAGCATGAAATTATCTGCTGAAAGAAAAAGTATGTCCTATTTTAAGTTTGTTCTGTTACTGTAAATTTGTGTATGTTTGATGTTTTACACTGTCATCAAGTTGTAAGTGCTCAGAAAGCTGTAATTTTTATTTTACAACGAGAAACAGTTTTGTAACACCAATGCATTCAAGGTGTTCCTATTAATCAAAATAAGACTCCTAATACTTTATTCATGAACTACATTTAGAGAAAACTTAATTCAGTTACTAAATACTAAATGTGTTACAATTACACTTAAAATCACCTTTTTCTTCTAAAGCTGTTTCCTTGTACTGTTTCCTAAAATCTGTTCTGACCATAACTTCATCTATTTTTCTATTTAAATAGGTATTTAAAGGCAGATAGTAATAAATCAGCAATACCAGAAAATGAAAAATTAATCAAGGTAAGGATGTACTGTATATTCATCATTGGCCTATGACACTAGAGAGGGCTTTCTTAATCTACAGATGGCCAAATTTATTACATATATCATACACCAAGCAAAAGGTTAAATCTTCCATAAAGATTTCTGCAAATAGGATGAAAGACAATTGCAAGGTATATACACAGTGAAAGAACATTACAAAAATACATATTTTTAAGTTGCAGTTTTAAGTTATTTTAGAGAAATTAATTTAGTATTAAAAAAAATGTAGTTACATCTAAAGCCAACCTCAGCAGACAGGATATCTCCCTTTTGTCCACAACAACTCAAAGCAACAGCATGGCTACAAGACATGCAAAAAAACCCCAGACTTCTTTTTGTCAGCGTACTAAAGTTTTTTCTCTCAGGTGCTATGTAGTCCTCCATGATGTTAGACATGATACATGAAACCTCTTCCATTTTTGCTACTTAGGAAGAGCTTGAAAAGAAAAAGTAAAGGGCTATTCATAATCTGCTCCTATTCTACAAGGGTGGTCTTTTACACCCACCCAAGCTCCAAGCAGCTGGTGTTTGTACAGTGCCTGCAATAGATTATGGAGTTTAAACGTCAAGTACAAATTCTTACCTTTCTTAGCCAGAAAGTACCTTTTCTGATATAAAACTTTAGAGTTTCCACCCACCCTGTTGCATGGGAATACTGAAGGAAGATTTAGGCTCTGTGAGCGTGGAATACAGAGCAATGCAAGCAGTGCAGCTGGGCCCTGGTGGGCTGAACGGTACCTGTAGCTAAGTGAACACCTTTAACTGGGCTGATAATGCCAGTGAGGGAAACAGGTAAGCTATGTAGTGAGCATGAGCGATGTTCACATCTTATTTCATTTCACAGTATTGCTTTTTTTTTTTTATTTATATACTGGCCTTTAGATGAAGTATTATTTGGCTTGAGAACTGGAATAATGGAAATCCTGCATAAATATACTTTTAAGTTACAACAATGCTTGTTGCTGTTGGTAAGGAAAGTAGGTTAAGATCTTTTGGTTAGGAATTACAAAACAGATGCTTAAAAAATATTCAAGGGCCCATAATTCTGCTTGTGGGAATTATTTAATTTAATCATAAAACTGAAGGTAGATCATGGAAAGAATAAAAGCAGCACTAACCTTGGCTCACTGTGGTTCAGAGTAAGCACATCTCACTTAAAAAAGACTATAAAAAAATAAAAAGCCCTGCATGACTAAACATCACATATGAAATAGTTTTCATATAAGCAACCATACAGACTGCAACTTTTCAATCAGAGAGAAAAGATGACTTCTGTGAGTATAGGACTGAAGACTATAAACCCGTAAACAATATAAAGAAAGTACATAAAAATTAAGCTTTGGTTTCCCTTCTCAGAGAATTAATGTGCATCAAATGAAATTAGCAGCTAGCAGGTTCAAAACAAACAAAAATGACAGATTCTACACCAGGTAGTAAACTGTGAAATTCTTCTTCTGTGATGATGTAGGCGTTAAATAGTTCATGCCGATTCAAAGAGCTTTTGACATATTCATGGAAGAATTATCTATCATGGGCTATTACAGACAAAATTCCCCCATAAAACTCAGCTGAGAACACCTTTAAGCCACAAGCCATTGCACACTGGCAGACATCTGAGGGAGTTATCGCTATATATTTATCCTGTTCTTACAGCAGATGCCTAGGAAACAGTATAAATCACTGTAGGAGATAAGATATGCTAGGCTATACATCCCTTAGCTTTGATCCAACATACAGCCCTTCTCACAGCTGGCTCCTCTTCTGCCCCTCCCAGGCAAGGCCTCCACCTGTTATTTCTATACACTCCATATATATCACTCAATGCTCTGCACGAGAAGCGAATCAAACACACTACATCCAAAGTATGCTAGTATTCCAACGATCCATCTATATGCTGTGAAGATAGCCTAGATTTATTCTAGTGAGGAGTGGGCTTTTTGCATATAAATTACTTGATTTACAAAAAGTGTTCAAAGGAAGTTCCCTGTCAGAGAGGGGAAAAACCATCCTAGAATGGAAAAGATAAATTTGCCAGATCGAGGCAGATTTACCAAGGTTCAAAGGGCTGCTTTCAGTAGGCACAATTTCCCCTCTGCTGCACCTTCTTTAAAAGGGATGGTATTTCCCCAGGGTAGCATTTTATGAAGTCATGACCTTAATTTCAGGTTTAAAGCCTCTTGTACAAAATACATCCACACAGTTCCCTAAAAAAAGAAAGGTGAGACATGGCCAGAGAAGTAATATAAGTTTAGCAAGTATACGTATGTGCAGATTATTTTGTATATTACATGTGCTTCCATTTAACTAGCTCCTCTGTAGGTTTTCTGTCATTAGCAAAAATGATGTCCCTATTTTTAAAGCTGGAATAAGTTTTTAACTGAGTGGATGAGAGTACTTACCTGAATAGTAGTCCCTTGGCCTGGCAGGGTCAGCGAATGAAGAAATGCCACCTAAATATAAGAATAATGCATGTACTATTAGAATAAAATAATCACATGGTCTTTCTTTATAAAATACAAAATCAAATTTAAAGTATTCTTTCTTTCAGAGCCTGTTTCATAAGATACAAATATGAAACAACAGCTACCTAAGAATTTTTTTGGCATCAGTAAGAGAAAATAGTATTGATAAGCTTGTATGTTGTCCAGATTTTATGATCGTGTGCCGTGTTTAAGCATGCATGTAGCCTAGAAAAATGCAAACCAACCTAACAAACGTTCTCCAGAACATATAATGAATAATTTCTGCACTGAGATTGTACATTAGTAAAAATGGGTTAAAGCACAGAAAACTGAGGACTGGAATAACATCCCACTGTTTCTGGAGAAAAAGATGACCCATGTACTGGAACACTCCTTCCTCCAGGTCTTAGTCACACAGCAACCTTCACAGCAGAAGGATCTCCACAGCATGTTTCATTAACAGTACCATGGGTTTTATCACAGAATCCTAGAATAATTCAGTTTGGAAGGGACCTCAGAGGGTTGCTAGCTCAACTCCCACTCAAGAGCAGGGTTAGCTATGAGATCAGCCCAGGTTACTGAGTCAGGACTATCTTGTCAAGTCTTGAAAACATCCAAGGATGGAGACTACAAAACCTCCCTAGGCAGAGTGATCTGATGCTTGACTGTCCTAGTAGTCAGACAGCCCTCCATGCCACAGAAACATGCAATATTCACATTTAACTAATGTGACGTTTTATGTTTGTTCACTCCAGTGCAGTAGGAAGTCTGATGCTTCGGTCTCTATTTTTCCACTTAAAACTGCTAAATATATGTCTTACAGACTGTATCACCAAACTGCAATAAAACCTCCTGTGAAAAGCATACACATCTGAACAAATAATTTCCCACTATACAAACACGATATCCATGGTCAACTTGATGGCACAGTCATTAAAAAAGTACTCAACATATTAAGTAATCAGACATAAAGCCCAAATATCTGACAACCAACCTCAGTACAGCTGTTGTGACAGGGCTTAGACTACCAATTAAAACACTGAAATTGATGGGAGTGTTCATATAAAAGTTTGCAGTCTTGTATTTAAAACTGTTGTTAAAGATCTCTAAAGATATAATTTTATGAATAATACAATGAACAATATGAAGAGCTGCAGTAATACATTGTTGGAAAGCTTGAGAATGCCAGTAACAATTTCTCAAGCATTCCATAATCTTTTTCAAACTGTAGGGACTTCTCCTAGAAAGGACGTAGGTAGTAGAAATAAACACGGAAACATACTGTGTTCTGGCATATTTTTATGGCTTCACCACAGTTCATTTAAAGTGACATTTTCATTTGCATCTTGTATGAAACATTTTACTTTAAATAAACATTTGAGAAGGGTAAAAAGTATTCCTTTAATTAAAAGTATCGAAAGACACAATTACTGGTTCTTATAATCCACATTTAAGAAAAAAGTTGATTTTTTTTCTTCTGCATTCACCTTAATAATCAGCATATCTTTAATTGCCTAAAACCTTAATGAAATAGCCTGAATTTATATATGCAAGACTTAGTGAATTTTAAAAATGAAAGTGTCTCTTATGTAGATTCTACAAATTGAACAAATTTTATACCTGCACAGGCTTTCATGATCTTCTTCAGAGGTCCCATAGTGTACATCAATCCAACAAGAATCCCTGCCAGATGCCCAGCAAAAGAAGTCCTACAAAAAAGGAAAATCTTGTGAGCGATAGAAAGACAGACTTTTTTTTTGTAGGGATCCATAAGAGGGAGTGCAGAATTTGTTGTAAAACTGAGAACATCCCTAAGACCAAGCATAGAGAAATTACTTGCCTGCAAGGACATAGTGCCAAGTTTTCTTTCTTCATAACTACCATAAAATTGCTAGGTATATACAGTTACAGAAAAGTATCTAACTAATATCCTAAAGAAGCTGGAAATGAATTGGAGAGATCATTTTAATTGCTTGTTTAAAGGACAGAATACCATTTTCCTAAAAGCATTTAAAGTGAAGACTTACTGAGGCAGGAGCTAATTTTTATCTATAAAAAAGTAAATCCACAGAATTATGCTGAAATATCTAGGTAGGATCTACCAAACCATTTAGTTTCAAGTGAAAGCATAAATACAGTACTTTCTACCGCACTATCAATACAATCCTACAATTAGTCTGACATCAGCATGAATGCAGCAAGATCTGTTGCAATCTTTGTAGCACAGTACCTGCAAAATTAAAAGAACATAGAATCATAGAATGTTTAGGGTTGGAAGGGACCACTAGTGGTCATCTAGTCCAACCCCCCTGCAGTGAGCAGGGACACTGCTAACTAGATCAGGTTGCTCAGAGCCCCATCCAACCTGGCCTTGAATGTTCCCAGGGATGGGGCCTCCACTACCTCTCTGGGCAACCTGTTCCAGTGTAACAGGGTTAACAGCGAGTGAAATGCTGAGATCCAAATTCTTTTCTATACATACCAACAATTTTTTGTAAAAGGTTCATTGTCCGTTTGCATATAGAATGAAAAGGCTCTAGTCTTTTGAGAAATCATCAACATGGAAGCATATGTTTACAGTAAATAGATATGCTCCAAGTACTGCCATGACTATGGAGTACTCTGAACTCATAAACCAATTTTCAGCATTCAAATTAAGAGTTAAGCTCTTTTGTGTTTAACCAGGTTTAGACGATTAAGAGTAAAATCTTTTTGAGTTTAACCAGATTTAAACATTATTTGTAAATGGTTCAACTCTATTATATGGGGTTAGAGAAGCCAATACACTAAAACATTAATATTTCCTAGCATATGCAGTTGTAAGTAACTCAGTCCACCAGGTTTATACTGATTGTCCAAAGATTCAAGTAATATGAGCTTTTTTGCCTTTATATAGCAAAAATGAAACCTCTGTTTACAGTAAAAACAGATTTAAACATTATGCTTTTTAGATTTCAATTAGAAATCTGAAAGAGTTACGCAGGTGATAGCATATGCACTCATGACAACACAACTTCCAGGTCAAAGGATACACAAAATACTTCACTAGTAAAAGTATACAAGAAAATGCATGTGTCACTAGAGGGAGATAAAGTTCAAATCTAAACTCACTCTTCTGCCACCTACTTAACCACAAATGTATTCTGCTATGTAGAGCTGTGGTTCTCTCCTGTAACCAATGATTTTATTTTTTATTTTTTTTAAGAGTAACATAAATGCTGATGTGAAAAATCTATAGGTAAGAGGTAGTTAGCAAACTAAAGTATCTATAAGGAACTAATTTTCCAAACAGATTTTTCTGGAACAGATTTTCCAGATTTCTGAAGAATACTTGCCTGACTCGGAAAATGTCTTTATGCATAAAACATCAAATACTTCAAGACGCCTTACTCTAAAAATCACCAACATGAGACTGATTCACCTATATTCCTGGAAGTGTTTTAAACAAATTTCATGCTCATCTTGATTTATCTGAGCACAACACTGTTGAACAAAATGCAAAATCAAGGTCTTTGCTTCCAATACAGTGAAGCTGTATATTTACACTATATAAATAATCAAAAACCTTCAACTTTAAAAAGTCATTAGGGGGATAATACCCTCTTCATGTCTATTGGACAGGTTAGTGTACTAGATGCCAAAATGCTACTGACTGTTTAATTATAAATTATATTCAAGGAGTAGAAACTTACAATGAAAATGTTTAAACAGGGTTTTCTACATGAAAAATAATATCAGATACATTGTCACACATATATACTATCACTGGCATACACAAAATGGGTACATTTGATAAATCACATCAAATTTTCACCATAAAATTGAGTGCGATCCACAGCAGCACCTTGCTATTTGTAATTACTAAGGAAAAGCAGTTCTGTGGAGTACAAAAAGACAGCTTCCCTTACATTAAAAAAAATGCTTAGTGTTACAGACAAGTTAAGCAAACACCACTTCATTTTAGAACGTGTTATATTGTAATTTACTCAAATGATAACTTAGTACTTTTTTTTTTTTTGCTAATGCTTGGTATCACGTGTAGTATGGAAAACCATCTTTATAGATATTTTCCAAATGTAACAACTAAAACATACAGATAATACGCAATTTTACCAAAAAAAGCAGTTTTATTAAAAACTTTTAACATTGTCAGAACAAATGAAACTGCAAAATAACTGCAGCAATGTTCTGAAGTAGTTAACTTGTGTCTTTTCCCAGCTGTTTGGAGGATGGGTAAGGTTCCAGAGGACTGTAAGGATATTTCTATACCCATTATAAAGTGGGGGGGTAAGGAAAAAAAGCAATACAGACGGAAGAAAACTCTAGTCAGAGGACTACAAACTAATCACTATCTTCTGTTCCCAGATAAAACTATTTGTTCAACAATTACTAGGATACATAATTTCACATAATTTGTGGATACAACCAAGGTAAGGTTCACCAAGGGCAAGTCCTGCCTGACAAACCTAGTGGCTTTCTATGATGGTGTGACAGCATCAGTGGACAAGGGAAAACCAACAGACGTCATCTATCTGGACTTCTGCAAAGCCTTTGACATGGTCCCCCACAACATCCTTCTCTCTAAATTGGAGAGCTATGGATTTGATGGGTGGACTGTTCAGTGGATAAGGAACTGGCTGGATGGTCGCATCCAGAGGGTAGTGGTCAATGGCTCGATGTCCGGATGGAGACCGGTGACGAGTGGTGTCCCTCAGGGGTCCGTACTGGGACCGGTGCTCTTTAACATCTTCATCAATGACTTAGACAGCAAGATCGAGTGCACCCTCAGCAAGTTTGCGGATGACACCAAGCTGAGTGGTGCAGTTGACACACCAGAAGGACGGGATGTCATCCAGAGGGACCTGGACAGGCTGGAGAGGTGGGCCTGTGTGAACCTCATGAGGTTCAACAAGGCCAAGTGCAAGGTCCTGCACCTGGGTTGGGGTAACCCCCAGTATCAATACAGGCTGGGGGAAGAAAGGAT